GGTGTATGCGACCCCCCACCCAGATCAGATGGTCTACATAGATGTGTGGGTAGACATAGCCACTGATCGTCCGGGGTATATCCGCCGGTGCCAATCTAATGGGCGGGGAAAGAAAAGGGCTCTCTGTGTGGCAATGGCACCCAGGCAGACTCTTCACTCCCAGATCGGGAAGGGGTGCCGGCCTCAGCAGAGACAGGGGAACGGGGGAGGGAGGAAGTTATATCCTGTTCTGCCCGAAGTACCAGAAGACCCGCTGTTAGCTCCCTCCGCCCCTCCCCCGTATCGCCAGCCCCTGCCAGACTCCTCGGGCGGAGGGAGAGAGGGAATCCAGAGCCCTCCTCATACCCGCGGTGGTGCACAGTATGGGGGTGCAGGTTTGGCGCCAAAATCGGATAGCGCCGCCATTTTGCCACTTAGGGAGGTGCCACCAGCTCCGGACGCCCGCTACATGCACCACCGCGGCTGGTTTATGTCCCCTTCTCTACTAGTGATTTATACAACTGGAAGCTGCAGAATCCCCCGTTTTCTGAGAAACCCCAGAGATTGATTTCCCTCCTAGAAACCATTTTTAGGACTCACCAGCCAACTTGGGATGATTGTCAGCAGATTCTGCAGACTCTCTTTACATCAGAGGGGGAGAGAGGAACCACGAACTGTCGGAGGCACCAATCAGAATCGGGCATATGCCTATGACTTCATTACCTGAGTAATTGAATGAGTGAGTGAATATAAACCTGGCTTAAGGAGCCCATTTTCATCATCACCCCCTGAGACTCACGGTTTGGCTGAACTGAGTGGTTGGGTTGGTGAATGGTTTGGGCGGTCTGTGGGCTTCACTTTAGAACTAATTTTGCCTTTTCTGTCTTGATGGCTTGGACAGAAAGGGCCCAGGTATCTGAAAGGAGGGAAATCCTAACATATTCCCCTCAGCCCGAGTGAAGTATAGCGGGCCACAAGTTTCGGATAGGTGTAGCATGCCTTGTACACCTTCCTCCAGATAAGCCATTCCTTACTTAAGTCCCTGCCTTTGTCATTTAGTGGTTATGATTTAATTGTGCCTTCCAACTTTTTCCAAATCTGCCACCTCCAGAATATGACCAGGATGCCAACGGTCCAGTAATGCCAGCCGTTGGACACCGAACCTGCGACTTCCTGGTGACAGCCAACTGACCAGGATTCTGTAAGGTCCTTCCCCTTACAGGAAGGACTCCCTCTGTGCTGCACACCACCCCCCCCCCTTTTCAGGGCACCCCTGACCCATGGGTGGGTAAAACAACGTCCATTTTTCAGCCGGAAGCAGTTACAAGAAGATGAGACCTTCGTCCATTGTCCTTTAAAAGAATTTAAAGTGGGTATATCTAAAAGGAGGGTGCAGCCAAAGGGTCCCCAAATGGAGATTTGGAGGACAAAACCCCCAGAAAATCAATTAGAAGAAAAGTAGACTGGACCTTGGGATATACTCCTGCTAGCAATCACTATAGGGCCCTACATTTTAAATAGGGTCATAGCCTTTATTAAAGAAAGAATAGAAGTAGTAAAGCTAATGGTTGTATCCCAACCCTATACTATGATTCCTGATGATGAAGAGTCAAGGGTTTGACACACCCCCAAGAGAAAACGGGGGAATGTTGGGAACAAGGAAATTAAGAACTAAATTTTAACCTTAATAGACAAGAACCACATTGTAGCTGAAAAGAAATGATAAAAGAGACAAAGTACAGTCAAAGCAAACATCCTGTGTCTAGCAGACGCTCTCCCTGGCTAGGCTAGATAAGCAGTGCTTTGTAGTTTTTTAATGAGAAAATAGAAAACTAGCTAGCTAGAGCCAGGAGATTACTAGGTTAATGAACAAACATCCTGCCTTCCCACCTTATGAAAGAATGCTTGGTTTGAAATTCCCGCGCGCGGTCTTTGTAAGCGAATTACTAACTGCCACGTCTGCTTCTGTATAGCGCTTGCTTGCTAGCTTCTATAAAACCCCAGTAGTCTGTAAGCCAGGCGCGACTTCCATTTTGGCGGCTCTGTGAGCCGCGAGACTACGGTCTCATTTGGGAAGCTCGCCCCTGCGCAGGTAAAACTTGGCCAATAAAGTTGACATCAAACTGATCTCAGTCTTCGGAGATTTCTTTCACTCGCAACTTGGATACAACACATTACCCCTTTGACTCCTCAAAACGGACTCGGACTCGACACAGACAAGGTAAGTCACATTCCTGTCTTACAGGTGAGGAACAAGAGGCGCTGAGAGGCTGGATGATTTGCTGGAGGTCCCAGGGGTAGCACTCGAGCCCAGGACCTTCCACAGAGGACCGCACCCCCGCACCCTCAGAGTGTGGTCCCTCCACGGCTCTCTCACTCTGAATAGTGGTCCTGTCTCTGAGCTTCCGTTTTCAGGCCAGACAGCCATAGGCTTATAGAGAAACTGTAGAAGTTTGTAATTCGGCTAGTGTTTGGGGCTAGAAAGTACCACTTGGCATCAGATCCCCCTTGCTTCCATCACCAGAAGGTGGCAGAGGTAAGAGGTGAGAAGGGCCCGAGCTCAGTCAGTGAGGAGGCAGCACGTACCCCTCCCTCCCGTGCCAGCTCCCCAACTCCGGAGCAGGGGCAGGATTGCACACACCTTGGACCCCCTCCTGGGGTCCCGGGACATGCAGGGAAATGACAGGACTATGTGAGGTGCAGCACTGGCTGTGGCCAAGTAACACGCAAGTCCTTCAAAAGGCAAAAGCACAAGCAAACCAGGGAGTGCAAGCACTTCACCATGCGGGTCCAGTGCGCGCCCATCAAACGCCCAAGGTCTGGCTGATCAGAAAGGCCTCCCTCGGGAACACTCCTAACTCAGGGAGATTACTCATTCCATGGCTTTCATAAAATACAGGGGTCCACCAAATGTTTGCTGGGCAGGTTTTGTTTTGTTTTGTTTTTTGTCTCCCAAAGGGTAGCTCGTTAAGTCCGACAATAAAGCAGGCTTTGTTATGAAGATTTACAATGTTTCCCCGAAGAAAATTCTAATTGACAAGCACCAGGAGAACGACAATGTAGAGCAAAGAGCTGCGGTTTCTCCCATTCTCCCAAGATCCATGTCAAAGGAACACCGGCTTCTCGGGTTTCCTGGACCAGCGTTTAGCTCGTCTTTATTTAGACACACGCATAAGTAGATGCTTGGATGGGAGAAATGTATCGTGCAAAGTAGTCAAATCTTAAAAGCCAAAAGATGTATTCTTTCAGACTTCAAAGATAAGAAATTCCATTTAACTCCCAGGTCCCTCCTCGCAGAATAAGCATATTACATACAAACACAGCCAAGCCTCGTGCGTGTAAAAGGGGGACCCTAAACAAAATAAAATGCACGATGCGAGTCTTCAGGAATAGCTGAGTGAGAATATGAAAGGCACCGTTATTCAAAGGATTCGTTATCGAATAAAAGTTCAAGCACCACAGAGCGATTTTCATATGAATGTTGGGTGTTGCTGTCACATGCGAGTCTCCGTCTACACAGAGAAGCCAGTCAGGGGGCCGTGAGTGACACGGGATAGAGAGGGGTGTTCAGATAAGGGACAGACATTACAGGGCCCTTTTTTCAAAGAAAACTTTGAAGATTTTGTCAGGCTGTCTGTGAGGACCTGTCACACAATAACAATACAGTTGCAAATGAGTGGTGCTCCGTGGCCCCTCGCTGCCTTTTTATAGACCAGCTGGCAAGGGCTGCCCAGGATGGGAAATTAGCATAAGAGAAAGGCTCAAGGTCACTTGGGCTGAGAGCCCAAGGAGAATGCTCTCAGATGAAGAAGGACACCCAACACAGCCACGCAAATAAGGGCGCGACGTTTAAGAACTCCTGTCTGAAAAGAACAGCAGAGAAAACGTCCTCTTTACTTCTTTCTGAATCTGTCCATTCCCCAAACAGCACCCAGGCCCCGGCAGTAAACACAAACAAACCAACCACGCCTTTGCACTTGCCTCCTGCAGATGAGGACAAGTGAAACTGGCGGAAGAAGTGGAAACATAACACAATTCCCTCTCCTCTTTCTAAACAGAAAGCAGGGACCAAAGTGGAAGAGCTACCCCAGGCAGGAGCACTGGACCAGCAGTCAGGAGGCCTCAGTCCCAACTAGTCTGGTGTCTCCCAGGAGCTGGATGATAGGTCCCTTAACTTCCTGAATTTTCTTGGCCTCCTCTGTAAAGCAGTCATAGACATCGGTGGTTCTCAAACCAGGTTCCATAGAACCCTGGGGTTCTGTGGGTGCCTTTGGGGCGGCCCTGGCAACACAGGGTAAGGCACAGGGGCCCCAGGTTTCCTCTCAACCCAAAAGAGTTAAGAGTTGATCCATTTTATACATCAAGTTTGTGAGTAAAAAGCCTTTTGTTTAAAGAGTTTATTGCCAAGATGATTCACAACTAAAATGGTTTAAGAGCACTGGACCAACATACCTTGTGATTTTTTTTATCCTTATAATTATGTGGTTCCTATGTGCCTCTTTGGATTATTGTTGTAGGGATTAATTGATTGATAGGCTAGTTAATATGGATCCTCAGCCCTGGCTGGCATAGCTCAGTGGATTGAGCGCGGGCTGGGAACCAAAGTGTCCCAGGTTCGATTCCTAGCCAGGGTACATTCCTGGGTTGCAGGCCATAACCCCCAGCAACCGCACATTGATGATTCTCTCTCTCTCTCTCTCTCTATCTCCCTCCCTTCCCTCTCTAAAAATAAATAAATAAAGTATTAAAAAAAAATATGGATCCTCAAATCTGTATATCATGTTCTCTTACTCCAACTTAAAAGGTGAGGAAACTGAAACCTGGATAATTCAAATACACCAGAACTCCCAGGGCTCAGTAAGTGATGGGATTCCAACTCAGGAATGTCTGATTTTATCCTTATAGTTAAAGACTAAACTTCACTGTAAGAAACAAGTAGTTATCTCATTGTTACTCCAATTCCTTTTCCACAGAACATCAGATTCTTTATTTGCGATCTCTAAGAGTACATAAACACTTACCCCGGGGAGACGAAATGAATCGCCACCAGTTCTGCCCAACAAGCGAATCTGATGGGAACAGGAAAGCCCAAAACGTTGGCGAAGCCTCCGGGGTAGTAATGGTTGCTCAGGACTTTCAGAGCAAACAAAACTCCTGAAAGAGAAGAAAGAGCGTACAAATAGCAACGACCCAAATGTGGAGATGATCAACGTTTACAAAGAGAAGTAGTTGGAAGTGAAAATGATCGTTTGACTACATCCAACTTTTCACTTCGAAGCAGACTCTATTCCTTGCAAGCCAACCCAGCATTCAGGAGCAAGAAGTGTTCACGGCCATCATTCTTTCGATGTTGCCTAACCCGGGAGTTCGTCCTGACTTTCAGCATGCTACTGAACATGGACAGGACACACAAAATGGGGATAAAACACCGGCAACCCTACTAAATGCCACTGCATCCTACACTGGAAAATCGTTGATTTTATGCCATGTGAATTTTAAGTCAATAGAAAAAAACGACGTAAGTTACATGTATTTTCTAACCTCTATGGAAAGACATTGAAGGTGGGACATGTTTTCTTTCTTCTCCCATAATTAGGTGCATGAGGGTGCATCTCAGAGGGAAGGGGGAGGGGAGCAGGCAAAGTAAAGGGAAGGGTTCGACTTCCTTTGGTTTCAGGACTATTTCCCTCCCTGCCTTCACATTCTAATTTTCCGAACACCTCATTGAAGCCCCGATGGTGATTTCAATCCAATGACACACACGTAAAAAAGAACTGGCAGGGGTTAAAGGGAGAGGCGAGGCACCACCTGGTTGAAGTCGCGTGGACTGGGTTCCAACCCCAGCACACCACTTACTGGGGGTGTAACCCTGGGCAAGTTTCCTGCCGTCTGAGTCTCAGCCTTCTTGTCTACAAAACCAAGACCATGCCAGGTCCCATGAACCCGGCATACGAATTGAGCAGCGTGAGTTACATGGAGTGACTTCTCTTGGCTCCTAAAACGTGGTGGCCATGCTGTGCTAGGATGTGATACATTTATTTTAATGAAGTTAATAAGGGGGATACTCATCTTTTTCCAAACTCCCCATCACAAATACACCTGCGGGTCTCTCCCTGGTTGTGGGACGATGGAGCAAACACATATTTCCTGTATTGTGTCTTCTACAAAACTACCCGTGAGCAGACTGCAGTCCAAACTGCTCAAGAGTAAATGATGCACGGCAACATCTGCGTCCCTCCTGTGCTCCAATCAGCTTCCTCTCCAGAACACGCCCCCCGGCAGCCCTTACCCACTCAGAATTCACTCCCTTCACCAACCAGGGACCCACACTTCATGAAAGGACAGCAGCCGCGCCGCCCTGTCCTTACGCATGCCTCCTTTGAAATGTGTCTGCCTTACCTGAGAAACCTACAGCACAATTCGTTTTGAAGACAGGTTCATCCAGGAATTCCGCAAGAGCAGATTCCAAGAGCAGGTACACCACCCCAGTGAGCAGGGAGAAGGTGGTGATAATGTAGGCGAACCATCTGCTTCCTAGTGTTCTTTCCAGCTGAATTCCTTTCCACAGCATGGACACCATATTGAAGTACAGGTGCCAATCGTCTGCATGGTGCAGGGGGGACAGCAGTAAGCGCTGCCAGTCTTTCTCCTGGTAACACGTCTCCACGCTGAGGCAGGAGCTGAGCAGTGGCTTCAGAGGACTCAGGAAGAACCAGATGTTGATGGCCAAAGTTGCTAGCGTGACAGGTGGAATATTGTTGACCCCAACTTGTAAGATTTGAGAAAGGAGCAGGATGAGCCCAGCATTGAGTCCTCTTGACCTCCGCTGCATGGCTGGGCGTCAACCCAGCGATGGGAATACGAGGAATCCAGGGAGGCAGACAGACAGCTGAACCTAAAACGTAAGATAAAACACACATGAAAAATCCGTCAATTGAGAATGAATGCATGTCAGACACACCACTCAACCGAGAGAGGAGCTCACATTGTGTGGACCACACCTCTCATCCACCAGCGACGCTGACGTTCGGTGCCTTCCAGAGTAACGTTCCTTCCTTCGTCTTCCTAAAACGGAGATCTTTTTATCCCAAGTCCCAGTGGGTCGGCTCATGGATGGGCCTGCTTACTCTGACAAACGCGCCATGAAAACACGACTTGTCTTCCTTCTCAGCAAACTTGTAATTTAGAAAGACGGTACATAAATGTTTAATAATGATCTCTACTCAGAATGCTGGTCGGGATCCTTTGCCCCCTTCGTTTTTCGAAGACATATTCAATTTTGATATTTCAGATGGAGTCTGCTCCAGGGTATCGAAACATCAACAAGCGAGTCTGAAAAAAAACAGGCATATCTTCTACTCCATGTTGGCAGGTTTCAACCCCGGGAATGCTTTATTTTCACAAAAACTTCAGCTTTTAAAAGTTACCTACTTTGTGCGACATCCTGGATTGAAAGACAGTCCATTTCTAAGGAGCTCACATTCTACTACGAAGCAAATGAACAGGAGCCATGCGACATTCTAAGCACAGTGACAGAGGGAACCCAGGCCCCGGGGACACAACCCAGCCTGCAGAGGCGATGTGTCCCTGGTCTCGAGGGGTAAATTGGAATCAACCACGAAGAAGAGGTCCAGGGTCCGCAGCCTGCTCCTCCGCCCCAGATCCTGGGCTGGCCTTGTGATCTGTCCCAGCTGACAGAATGCAGAGGGAAGGACTCTCCATGAATTCTGAATCCAGGCCTCAAGATGATCTGCAGGCTTCTCCTCTCTCTGGAAATCCTCCCAAGCAAGCCTGTGGACAGGTCCGTGGGGGCCCGTCACCCCAAGGACCGTGCCACCAGCCACCAGTGCCCAGAAGAAAGCTGTCCAGGTGTCTAGGAGCTGACCACAGATGCGTCAGTGAGTCCAGCTGTGCCCAGACGAATTTGTTCACTCACAGAACAGTGAGCCGAATAAACGGTGCTTTACTTCACCAAGTTTTGGAGTGGTTTGTTATACAGCAGTTCTGACCCAGGCAGCCGGCACCTGCTTTGGTGAGGGATTGGCTTATACTCATGGGAAGAAGCTAGTAAAGAAACAGACACAGACTAAAGATGCAAGAGATAAAAAGAATCAAGCCCTTAAAGGCAAGAGACTTGTTCGTTACGGCATTTCTGTTATCACATAGATGTCAGGTGCAAATATGGGTCAGCAGGCGGGCAGGTTGGGAGACAGATGCTGAAAGAGTGCCCATCAAGGGGTTCTGTTTTCTCCGTGGAGCTTTCGTGGCTTCCATCCAAAAAGGAAACGCACTCTGATACCCTGACGATTCTTACTCAGAGGGCACAGTGGAACATACATGGGCTTCGGAGCAACAAGGGCAGGAATCCCTTACTTACTAACCCTCTTAACTTCAATTTCTTAAACACTCTAAACTCTCTTAACTTCAATTTCTTCACTTTAAATTGCGAATAACATCTCCTTGTCAGGATGACTGCAACGTGTCTGGAACAAAGAAGTTGCTGCAGAAATGACAGGAGCTTTTTTCATGACGATAAGGTAACCTCGCTTATGTGAAATATGCGCTGCGAACGGCAGTGGCATCCTAGAAAGGCTCAAATGCACTGCCCTTGCCCCCATACAGAGTCTTACCAACATCCCCTCCAAAGGAAATGCCCAGGAAAAAAGTTATATATGTGTGTGTGTGTATATCTCCTCCTTATGGGCACAACCCAAAAGTTTATTGCCATGGGCTTATTATTATAGCTCTGTAGCATTCTCATGAACTGGTGAATTTAATAAAATTTCAAATGAAAAGTTCCCAAATAATTTTGGAGAAAATGGTCTGTTTTTCACACTGGCCTTCAAGATGATTTTCTTCTCCAACTACTGTCTTTCTTACAATTCTCCTAAATAATTGCACGCATCAAACATCATTACCTATAATGGGAGCGATGAGAAAACACGGTTTATTTGTAACTTGATCATTAAGTTACAAGTAAACCCTTTGGTATCCGTACAGTGTCCTACGGGGGCCAGGCTACAAACAGCAGAAAAATCAACAGTAATTATGTCTTTGCTTAAGGAAAACGTCTCCGTTGACCGGAATCGTTAGTGATTCAGAGTATAAACAAAAGGGCAGTAGAGTTTCCCCAGTCGTTCTTCACTCTGTGCACCTGGGCTCACATTACGTTTGCTTTACTCCTGCCCAAACCCACGGGTCCCTTTCCGTTGGCCCCCCTTTGCACCACTCGGCTCACCTCCCGCCATCACCAGCTCCTGCTTCCCCAGCTTCACCCCTCCTTCCGAACCCCCGCTCCACTTCTCACTTCTCATCTTACTCCCCTTCGCACACGCTCATGGGATTCCACTCTCGTGGTTTTGATCATTCTTTTTACCAGATGATTCCCATATTTATACTTTTCAGCCTTGATTTCTGTGTAGCTTTCAGGGACATCTTTTATAGGACGTCTATAGTCTGCCTGATCTCTTTGGTTTCTCCAAACAGAACTGTCCCTCTTAGCACACAACTACCACTCGGCATTCCTGCCATCACACCTTTGTTTGATGAGTATCAGGTGCCAGTCACCAGAGGTCGAGCAAAGAGCAAAACACAACCCCAGCTCCTGAATGGCCCATTTCTATTTGTTGAAGGAAATGAGCATTCCAGCTGCAGAAAATCAAAAGATGAATCAAATGATGTGGTTCATATTCTCAACAAATGTATACTTAATGTGAAGGGAGATATAAGCAGTCCATGTGAGAAGTGCATAATATGTTGGGCTCCGCTTTCATAAAGGCCATGAGAGTATCAGTGCAGGCAGAACGTGAACTTGAGTTTTAAGTGGCAAGGGCTAACTGGCACTATTTCGTACCAGCTCTATGTATGGTTCAGCTTCCTTCCTAGTAGGTCAGGTCAGCCACTCAAAGGGAGGGATGCAGCCTGTAACTAGGTAACAGAAAATCCAATTCATACATGTGAAGATCAAATCTGTAACTCGACCTTTGTTGGGAACCACCCTGCCTGGTTTCAGAAGTTGTAACCCCCACCAAGGCTAAGGCTGAGGGAGCGACCTTGGACTGTAAGCCACTGAGGAGATAAAAACTTATCTTCCAGGCAGCAGGGCTGCTCCTTTTACTTCATCCATAACTGGCCCCCAATGCTTGGTCGGCTGGCCAATGACGGGTAAGATTCCCCAAGGGGGAATGATCTAAGACAGGCACGATCACGTGGGAAGCCCCCAAAGAAGGACTTGGGGGGCTACAGCAAAAGGGGGTGATGGACCCTCACCCATCAGCTTTGACAAAGCCTGAGTCCTCATTCTATCTGCGAGAAGTCTCCTAATCTCTTGGCTGCCCTACTGCCCTTGCTCCACCTAAGCCTGAAACAATGACAGAGGGTGGTGCAGTCCTAAGCTGGAAAGGGCGGGCTCCCCGGGCAATCAGGCCTAAGATAGAATATGTAAAATCCCGTGAAATCTGCTTTGTTTAGAATGCTCTTGATTAAATGATAAGGGTCCAAGAAGTAAGTTTGTTCCTCAAAGTTTTACAGCTCTTTAGCTATCTGACCCTGACTCAAAATAGGCCCTCAGAGTTCTTTGTTATCTATTGTTTGATCCTTACTGCCTGACAATGATTAATGAGCTTTATCTATTTCCTGTGCAAATGAACCCAAAAAAAGCCCATTGAGGAACAGGCTCCTGGTCCTTCTCCTTTGAGAGATCAGCCACCTTTCTTCCCCAAGCAGATCATGCCTTGGTAGACTTATTCTCATCCATGGTGGACGGGGGGCTCTGCAGACAAAGCTCCCCCATAGACCTTGTGGGCTCAGACCACCAAAGACAAGACAACAGATGACAATAAGCAAGTGCTGACTATAAAATTAATATTGCTTTGTCCTTTCCATCAAACACATAGAAATTTTTAGAGTGCTGAGTTATAAGAGGGACCACAAAGGCGTGATCAATTATAGCGATGTATGGATGAGCTGGAAACTGGTGCAATGCGCTTGGTTTTAGAAATGATTTTATTTATTCTAATCTGTACTGGGCCATAAACCAGTGACCGCAGCTCAAGGAAGAGCAGGCTGGTCCCTGCACACCCCACTCCATAAACACATCCTCCCCAACACTCAACGTGCCCCAAACAACACTGGACCATCCGTTCCAAGTTTGCTCTTCCTCCCACGTTCCCCACCCATCTCAGAACATGGAATCTCCGGGTGCCCAGTTGTTCAAGTCAGAAATATAAAAAACATCCTTTGCACATGCTTGGCCCTCATCACTTTCCTACCCCTACAACCCATCCGTAAGTCTTAGTTAATTCTCCCAGCTGGCTACTGGTCTCCTTCTAATCCTAGGCTCACTGCTCTAGTCTAAGCCACTGTCATAACTTGCCCGAATTACAACAAACTCCCGAAGTGGATTCCCTGTTTCTCTGCTTACATCCACCGACCGTGTTCTACCACTGCTCAGAGTAGCATTTACCAACTACAGGTGGAGGCACCTGCAGTGAGCCTTCAGCGGCTTAGCATTACAAGTTGGAATGGAGACCAAACTCTTCACCATAACTAAACGCCTGTGATCACTACTGTCCTGCCCACCCCTCTGGTCCCATTGCACACCGGTCTCTGCCTCGGTCACCATGGTCCAACCACACAGGTGCTCCCACCGCAAGAGCTCCAAGATTGCAGCACAGAAGGCCAAGGGCAGAATTACCTTCTCCACTTTGATCGCCACGGAATATCCAGAGCCTAGCACAGTGACTGGCATGTAGTCAGTGCTTCCTAAGTATCTGCCCAGTAACTCAAGAAGTATTTGTATTTTTGAATACAGTACATCTTCACTACACAATAAACGAGACTGACTGAAAAGGTCTGAATTCCTCTGGGGTGTTTGTCTCGAAGAACTTTTCCTGCAGTTGTAGCAGCCTTCCCCAGAACACTACTCATGTTGCTCCACTTACCATGTTTAGTTCCAGGACAGCTTTTATGGCATTTATCTCAACGTCACAGGAATTAACCTTTAATCCATTTAAAATGTATTAATAGGCTGTTTTGTCAGAGCTTTTTGATTTAAAAAATGACATTTTAATTATATAGTAATGCACACTGGACAGCTCTGTATCAAGGCTCCAACAGAAATGGAAGACTTCTTGAAATATTGATAGGAAAATTAGCCATATTTACTTTTAATGAGAAATTAAAATTTTAACGGGTATGTAATAAGAAAAACTAAGTGGCTAGAACAAACAAAAGAAACTGAATTCATAACTTGGGAAACCAATGTGTCTCAAGGGGGAGAGAAAGGAGTTTATAAAAAAGGGTATGGAAACTAATTATGGTGATTTTCAATTCTACTTACAAAGCAGGAAATATTTTCATGAGTATAATTTACCAGGCAGGTATATATCTCAACTTTCAATTTAAATGCTCAACAATAATTCAGAACTTCCAGTCAAGAGGGAGGCACAGGTGCCTCACCCAACCACAGAAAGAATTACAACTAGATCTCAAACCAAGTAACACCCAGAACCATCAGAAAACCGAGCTGCATGGAAGTCAGACAACCAAGGATTTAAAGGAGCCAAATTCATCCAGATGGGTAGGAGGGGCAGAGGCGCCAAAGTGCTGAGAGGCAGAGAGGGCAGAGAGATGTGGTGTGGCATGCAGTGGTGGCAGCAGGTCGGGCGTCCCACATTCACGTGAGGTGGATAAAACTCAGGAGGGATACCTTGGGAGTGAGCGATCCCAACTCCAGGCCAGACTGCACAGCCCAGGGTTCCAGCCCAAGGAAGATGAATCCCCGTAAATTCTGGCTTAAAAACCAGTAGGGGTTGGGGCAGTGGAAGAAACAGCCAGATCTTCAGGGGACTCCACTTACAGGCCCCGCACAGACTTAGAACGTACGCAAACCCACCCACTCTGGGATTCAGCACCAGGGCAACAGCTGGAAGGGCACAAGACGCGTACAGGAAGTGGGTGAAGCGACTGGGAACGGGGCGAGTGCCAGGCAAACCTCCAGAAGCTAGGCAGAGGCACTGCCCCCTCTCTGA